ATAATAATAATAATAATAATAATAATAATAATAATAATAATAAATGCCCACATGAACATCTGGATGTTGTATGTATTCCCCAAAATGTACACATTTTTGTATGCACTTTGCTCCCTCTCTCCCTCCCTCCCTCCCTCCCTGTATTATCTAGTAATTTTTCCCTGATACAATGGATTTTGTGCACACATTTCCTCAATACACACATCTTGTGTAAATGTGGTCATCAATTATTTAATTTATTATGGGGAGAATTTTCAATGGTATAGTGAATACAGGGAAGGCAAAATGTTATGCTCTTTATTTGTTTATATTATTTCTATGCCTCCCAACAGCAGAAGCTGTCTGGATGGTTCACAGCAGCATATATCAAAACAATATAAAATTTGAACTTGTTACAAAAAGTCACCCAGATAGAGGCCTTTTAGGCAATTAATTATGAAGGTTTTCGATCAATTGATAACTTTGCATGTATGAAGGATATTTCAAATGAAAAAAAAATGTTTTGTTTTTAGACTAGTACAAAAGAGTCATTCCCCAGTCTCCCCCATATATAATGTGACTTTGCATATTATGCATATATGTTACATTAATATATAGATATTACATTAAAATATACAATATAAAATTAAAATATATAGTATTTATTTTAGTATTTATATTATGTGTGTGTGTGTATGTGTATGTGTATATATATATTCTCTCTAATCTCTTTTAAATTTAAATATAATATAAATATTATATTATGACTGCGCTGCAGTAAAAATCATTCAAATATTAGGAACAACAGATGTTGACCAACTAATAGAGTCAACGTTTTAGTTCTTCAAAATATTGTATTGATTATTATAATCCATTAATTGGATTATATAAGCATTATAATTATGCTTTTCTAAATACATACTTAACCATAGGAGAAAAATAACCATCTAACCTCTCTCTATGAGAGATTTTTCTTTAACGTCTAATGATATAATCTTCCCATCTGTGGTGCTCTCATATTTGTGTGGCCATTAATTGCAGGACTTTAAAAAATCCTTTAAACAAGTGTAAAATGTACAATAAGATTAATAGCTAGGATAATGAACATGCTGGCAAGGCATGAAAATAGCAGCAAGAAAAAAAAGAAGAACAAGATCTAGAAAGTTAATGATCTATTAAAGTGAATACTGGCTCTGTGGAGATCCCGCATTGTTCATTATTGCATAATAAATTTAATTGACAGTGATAGATTTAGCCATGAAGGGAGCTCATCAAATAAGCAAGACAGCCTTCCATTTAATTCCCTGGGTAGACTCTTGGGCATTGAAAGATAATTGAATTACAGTGTATTATTGATATTAATCCCTCTGAGAGTATGCCTTGACTACAGAAACATCTTCTGGTATTTCATATATGGATGAAACATGTGTTATTCTCCATAATTCAAAAATCTGTCTTGCGATGATGCCAGCATTTTTGAAAGGAACGTGTAGCTGTAATAGGAGAAGCCACATCTCAAGGGAGCTGCACCACTGCTGTGCTGTCTACCTTCCTAGTAGCCAGAAACCACCTTGTTCTAGGCATCACAGCGATCTCATATACCAGGAGTTACATTCTTATAGCTCACTAAGCTTTATGATAGGACTTGAGAATAGTATTCTGATAAATTATCAGCCACTTTCCTTTCTGCAGGGAATGAGAAAATAGAAATATGGCCTCTCCTACATGACTTCCTCCAAACCCATGACTTATGTTTTCCAGTTCTTTGTAGGTTCAGTCATTCATTTGATGAATTCATATTAAAATATTCCTAAATAATAAATGTGCATCAAAATTCTTATCATTCTGAGAGGGCTTTTCTCTTAGGAAAGAGGACCCAAAAGTAATTTTAAAGAAACGAATAAATGAACATTTACCCTGGTTTACCCTTCCAAAGGAAGGAATCATTCAACAGTCTTACTATTTTTTTTATTTTTATAAGATACAAATACAAATTCAAAAATCATATAATAAAAACACACACAATACACACAATTTTTTTTAATAGCCATCATCCTTAGCACCCCTCCATCGGGACCATGGCTGCCTAGGTTTTTTTTTTCCTTCATTTCTCCACTTTTTCCAGGATACCCCCTTCCATCCAAAATTGCAAAACATTCTTTGGGGTTTTATCACTCTCCCCTTTTATTGATACATGTTTAATAAACCTACCCCATATATTGTTAAAATCATTCTTCCTTACCAATCCTTTTTTCACCTTTATCTTACACGTCAACTTATCATTAACCGCTATATTCCAAACTTCTTTATACCATTCAATTAATTGGAGATCTCATTTCTAGTTCCAATTCTTTGCTATTATTCAAAGCAACTTACAAAATATAAGCAGCAGAACAGTCGGAAATACATGCCTTCCCTTGCCAGAAGAGCACAGATAAAAAAGGTAATATATGGTGAAATTAGACATTAATTTGAATCTATATTTAGCAGTCATTTTGTCATCTTCTTTTTCATTTTTACTACAACAGGCTGAGAAAACCATATCTGGATCAAGACACCAGCATCAGGCTGGATTGGGAGGTGCTACACCTACTCTAAAGTAAAAACCAAAAAAGAAGAAGACATGGCTGCTCAATAAAGATTTAAATTTAATGTCTGATGAAGATGTACCAGTATGGTTTGCTTTACAGACTGTCAGGTGCCTTTTGTACCATCATCCACTCATTGATGGAATCTGGTTTTTCTGTTTCTTCAACTTGCATCCTCACTGAAAAGTGTGCACTTTCACAATACACAAATCTGCCCCACCACATGCAGATGCCCCTAGCAGGGAAAATGCATTTTCCTTTATTTTTCATATTTTCCTACAAATAAATATACATACAATCCAGAAAGTAGAACACCAGGCCATAAGTCTGCTGAACCTGCCAACTTAAGAAAGGCCGAGCTACTGTGGAATCCATATGTCAGATTCATAGCAATCCAAACAAAACTGAATCATTGTGGATTTCTCTAACGTTCCTAAAGTCTGATTTGTCTCCTAACCTCCTGGGTATGGGGGTTCTACGCACAGGACAGAAGTAGTGCTCATTGGCATCAACAATACTTCTGAAGGCAGCAGCACATGCAAGACGGCAGCAACAGCTGATCTGAAAGGCTAGTAGGTTCACTTGGCGGAGAGGACCTTCCTCTCTATCAGTTGGCTCATTCAGGGCGTCCACTGAGATAAGGGACTCCCCCGTCAGTTTGTCAAGCTTCCGTTCTTGGCCTGCTGTTATTCTTGCTCATGCTCCCATCCTCTTGGGAACTTCATGAGTTCTGAAGAATTTGAACAGGGTGCTAATGAAGCCCTGCTATGGCTCTCAGTGCAAGTGTCATGAGTGAACTCCTATATTTTGTTTGGATATGGTGAGTCTTTAGCTTCTTGATATTTCCCTCTCTTTCTCTCAGCATGTGCTGCTGCCACCAGGAATCTAATTGCAATCTACCACACTTTCGTCTGTAGCCTTTCCTTCTCACAATTCAGTCCTCTCAGCTCTACCTCAAACCCTGTTGCTTAAACCTTCTAAGATCCCTCCTCAAATCCAGCATGAATATTCCAGACATTAGGAAGGTTACATTTCATGTAGCAGGATCTTAGCACTAAGCTTTCTCCACAGCACAGTTGTTATTGATATATGGGGAGTTATTAACATGAAAGCACTTTGTGGTCATTCTCTTATGTTCTGTGCTGAAGGATTGTATTCCACGTACAATTTTTCTGTATATATGGATTGGCTCTCATAATGCTGGCAACATTTAACACTCAGTCACTCATAACTGTCTCTTCATACTCTTCTCTTAAAGTGTTGGTAGAGCTTAATCTCTTCTCACTTTAATTTCAACACCTGCTTAAATATGAATGTTCATTTACAGCAGCTATATAGCAATACATAGTATTCGAGGCCATACTTTTCCTGTTCATATCCTTGCTGGCCTGGATGACACAAAAGAAACATTGTTCAGTTCTTTGCTTAGTTATTCATATGCTCTCCAGAAAATCTTCGTTGGAACTTACATAATTTGGTATGGTGCTTCCACAGTTTTTTTTAGAAATGACTATGCACATATTATAATGTAACAAATGAACTTTAAGTGGTGGGGTCAGGCCAACAATGGTGTGAAGTTTACATGCTGTTCTAAGCCCTGAAACATATGTGAATTGAAAGCTTGTGTGCTTCAAAGGAGAACTGGACTAAATTCCTGATCATGTGCATGGGATCCATTTCACTTATAGGCAGACTACTCCAATTTGAAAGATTCTTGGTAAGCAATTAACCATGCCAGTAAAAAAGAAATAAACTAGGAGCCCAGAATGGCCATCAACACAATGCATTCTCTCTCTCTCTCTTCTTGACCAGGTCTTTTTCATTTTATTTAATGCATTTTAATTTATTCTAATGCTATTTTATTTAATGTTTAAATATTTTAAATGCTGTTTCATGTATTGTATTTTATTGTTTTTATATCCTGCTGTGAACTGCGCAGAAGATGGCTTTTGTCCATCGCCCCCCCCCCCCCCAGATCCCCTGTGGATTTTTGCCAGTGGCTAATAGGGGGTGGTTCTTATTTCTATTTCTAAGGTTGTGAGCCAGCACTGTCCAAAGACAATCCTGCAGTCATGGGGCCAGCATGACAGGACCAAGCACTGTTACTGTCCCACCAAAGTGTACCTATTTATCTACTCACATTATATGCTTTCGAACTGCTTGGTTGGCTAGGAGCTAGGAGCAAATGATGGGAATTCACTCCATCTGGTGGATGCTGGGCTCGAACCAGTGGAGGGCCAACCATTTCTGGCTGACAATTCCAGCGACATTAAGCTGCTGTGCCACCCATTCCCAACTGCTGGTATAGAAATGTAGAGATGTAATTAATAATAAATTACTAATAAATAAATTTTATTAACATGGAATACAAACTACATTCACAATACATGTGACGAGAATATATAACATCACCATGTCTGCTGACATACACAGAGATGCAGGTCAGGAAAGAACTGACACATATTTCCATGACTTTAAAAAGGCAAATGAATGAGCGTACACACCCCATTCGTGTCTGACATGGATACATGTCTTTCCGTCTCAAATAGCTAGATTTGAGCACAAAATACTGTGTTGATCCAGTCTTGGGTTCAGTAAAATTCTCTTGGTGCTGGAGGAAAGGGGAGGCATGATTTTCATCAATACTCCCTCCCCACTGACAACGCTCACCACCTCTTTTCACGCAGTTACAGCGGGTTGAGGAATCCTCTGCAAAGTGTAGCAGGTGTAACTTGGAAGAAGACAAGCCCCAACCCAAGCCTCTCATAGAGAACCTCTGCTGTACAGATTTCCTTCCATGGATAGAATAGGTGGAAGGGCAGGAAGGGAGGGGAGGAAGAGCAACTCTGGCTTAAAATGCTTCCAGCATAAAGTGTGGGAAAAGTTCTCATTACATTTTCTATTCTCAAATGTGGTAACAGATTGCTTAGAAGGGCAGACATTAAAAATGCCCAGGTAGATTCAAAATAGTGTCCATTGTTAGCAAAGAATTATGTTCCACTGGTCTTGCCCCATTGCTCAGCAACTTCTTGCTGAAACTTTTCAGAGGCATAGCCAACTGTGATCTAAGCCTAGCAGAACTTCATATCATGAGTCAACCCAAACTCAGAGAAAGAAGTATCCAACAGAGAGCTGCATAACTAGTGACTGTATCCTTGGTTCAGCTGCAGATTATGGAGTGTGTTTTGAGAATAAATCAAATTCTTATGAAGGATAAGAAACATTAATACTATCATACCTCTAGGCTCTCACCATTCTTCTCTTTCTACCCTTGTCTCTTCCCTGTTTTCCCTGTCATCTATGTTAGTTGCAAGCCCTTGTGTGACAGGGAACTGGGGTGAGAGTGCAGGGTTAGGGTTAGGGTGCAGGATGCCAAAGGGCACTACATCAATACTAGTGATTCAAACTTAGAACAGGTTTAAAGCTGCTTGAGGCAGATACCGAATGGCCCCTCTATCCTTCTCACCCAGTAAAGTTGCATAGTAGCCAAAGTTAGCTAAGTCATTCTGGCACCTGAGGCAGAACATTTCACAGGGGCCTCTTCCCAAACCTGACATTCAAAATGCGATCAAAATAATTTAAAGAACAAACACTGTTCAGGATACCCATAACTAGCTGCCTGAGGTAGCTGACCCACTCCACCCAGTCCAGCCTTGTCTAGGCCTGTTGTGTCATTTACTGGATTGCTTCTACCACTATAGAAGGAAGCCTTTTTGGAGAATGTCCATTAAGTGGAAGGCTGAAAAATGAAAGAAAATTTTAAATATTCAGAATGCCTGCTGTGAGGGGTGCTGGAGTAAGGACAACTTTCAGTCCATGACTGTTTTGCACTGTGTTGAGGACTTGAGCATACATTTCATATTTAAATATGTGTTTCCGTACATAATGAACATACTTTCTTTTAAATTCAAACCCAAATCTGTCTAAAAGTTTGCAATTCTGAATGTATTTCCTATCATTTTTAAAATGAATTTGCCTGCTGTTTTTGAGCCAAGAACCATGTCATAATTTTCAAAAAAAAAGTGTACGTTCAACTGAGTGCTATGTTCAAATCCACACAATTTGTTTAGGAGGTAAATATCAGAACAGTTCATTTCTGGAAACACAGTGATCACAGCCACCAAACATCAATTGTAGATTCTCAAGAGGAAAAAAAGTTCTGTAAAAACACTAACTGAATTTATCTAAGTGAAAGAACATTTTCAATAATGGCGTTTTTACTGCTGCGCTATGGATATGCACAAATACACAGAGAGAGGAATTCACTTTTCATGTGGACTGTGAAAATAATTATTTTAAAAATACTTTCATGAAAACATCATGGTATAGGGCCATTTTTAATGCAGTTAAATGGGCATAGAGAAGAGCTTTGTATTGCTGTGTTAGTACAGCAGAGATATGTAGCTACTGTCAGGAGACAGAGAAGTTTATATTAGAAGGTATGACCCGAGCAGGTCAGAAGTACAAAGAGGTGCTGGCTGCAAGCTACTTGCTTAACAGAAAGAAAGAATTCAGCATACAAAGTTTATTTTGTTTTTAAACTATCAAAGAATTAATCTACAGCACTCCAGGCTTATATTGCCTAGAAAAGCCATTTGGATACTAACAGCACTCTTATGTGTGCAATATGTAATTTTTAATGCTTCCCCCTCCCCCCCAAAGGCCTATATAACATTAATCTAGAAGACTAGTCTTTAAAACATCCTGCCTATGTGAGTGCCACTGAGTTGATATTTCACGTGAAAATAAACCCTGCTATCAATATATACAGGGCCAGCTGTGTTGGAGAATTTGTATCCTACCTTTCGGTTTATAAAAGTGCCCAAAGCAGCCTACAAGAGAGTTTAAAAAGAATCACATACAAAGCATCACACAGTCAAAACAGAGATGTGGTGGCGGGAAATTACACTAGAGCCTCTGTTGTTTGTCAGGAAATGCTATCATGGAATTCATGCCAAAGGGATTGATCACTGCCGGGGCACTTTCTAATTTTATTTATTTATGTATGTATTTAAAGCTTTTATATCCTGTTCA